GTCGAAGAAGTTAACTTTGATATGGGTCAATCAATTTTTTGAAGTAGTAGTCTTTTGAGAATAGTTGAGATGAACTTTACATTGACATACTGTATTGAACCCTATTTAATATTTTTATTTATCGAAACAATTTATGGATTAATTTTGTTTTGTTATTATAATAGGTTTGCTGGTAATCAAATAAATAAATAATTTTTAAAAATTTAAATTGATATTTACGGCGTGCATAAGCATGCCTTAAATAGCACTTTTTACGGCGTGCAACAGAATGCCATAAAAAGTGCGATACTTTTTACGGCGTGCATAAGCATGCCTTAAATTTCACTTTTTACGGCGTGCAACTGAACGCCGTAAAAACTCATTTACGACGTTCTATAGATGGTGTAATATGCACGCCGTAAAAGGTAAACCACTTTTTACGGTATGGCTTTATACGACGTGCGGCCGCACACCGTAAAGAGTAAATTTTGTTGTAGTGACTGCTATTTTTCCACCACCTTCTTCACAAAATTTACACATGCAGATGCATTCGAAGGAAATCTTCTAGAATATCAAACCATTACATGTTCATCAAATAATGTATGCATTTGGAGAGATGAAATGAGTGAGTGATCAGTGATGGTTGAAGGGATTTAGGGCTTACTGGAAATTCCAACTTAGGAGGGCACATTTGCACGAGGCCGATAAATAGCGGCGTGATGGAATATTGGTCCTTGTAAGGCCTTTTAAGTTGTTTATGCTATTCCAGGAATTAACATAATAGTTCACATAATTCTTAATATAATCTTTGACATAATATCACATGATATCTCATCATTGGATTAAATGTCTGAGATGTAAAATATAATGTGAGAATATGTCAATTGTAAATTCGATAAGTCAAAGTGTAAAACATGATGTACATATAACAAGATTTATCACAATATAGTAGCAACATAAGAGAAATTCCATTATTATCCTATTTCTATTAATTATTTGAAGTAGTTAAATAAAGTCACATATATATCATTTGAATATATTTTAAACACGCCTTCTCATATTTAGGCTGATTTTTTTCATAAATCAACACGTGCACAATTCTTTTGAATAAGTGGTGCGAGATTTAAATTCAAGACCTTCGTATGCTTTAATACTATGTTGAACAACTTTGACTTGAATCTGCCTTTGGAAAAAAGCTTAGTGTTGAGTTGGCTTTCAACAGATCTTGCCGATTGTGAAGGCATGCAATGTGGACATCGCCTACACAGAAAATGAATAAAATATAAATAGAAATGATATAGTACAATAATGAGTTCGAGCATTAGCGTCAAAACCCAATCCTCTTTGAGATGGTCTTGTAGGTCGAGCCTCAAAGAAATGTCGAAGGTTGGACCCGCAAACTCACTTGGCCAGTGTATAAGTAAGCTCTCAAGTCCCTTTACCGTCATGTTGATCCTTTTAAAATGGGAATTGCAGTAGTGGTCCCCAACCTTTCATTTTTTTGCAGACTTTACCCTAATCTCCAATTTGTGCCAGCAAATATCCCAAACTTTTGAAAAATTAGAAGTATTAAAAGTGTCAAGTTAGGAACACAGGCTTTGGCCCTTTTGTTTGCTATTAGGGGAATTCATAATTATCAAATATTCACACGTCTTAGTATCACAAGAGATCCCACAATGGAGTAATTGGATCCAAAATCTCAGTGGGTGGGGTGGAGGCAAATTTCTTTTTTCTTTTTAACTATTTTATATTAAATTTGTATAGTTATCATTTTTCCCTTCTTATATTTGGATGAAATTAATTTTTCCGGTCAATTATCGGTCATACCATCTATTTGGATCTCTACTGATAATGTTTCAAATGTTTGGAAACTTCGTTGACACAAATTGAAGTTAGGGTAAAGTCTGTAAAAAGTGAAAGGTTAGGGACTGTTGCTGCAATTTTTCGTTTTAAAATAAATCTGAAAAATTGGAAAAAGGAGAACCCCCTCCGCCACCTTTTTTTTTTTTTTGTTTATTGGCCTTTTCACTATATTTTCTTTATGGTTATATCATTCGTACAAGGAGTTTTATTGCCAACTAAACTTTCACGTACAAAGTCAGTTACCTAATTGTACGGACCTAGCATAGCTTGAAACCATTCAAGCAGGTCCAACTCATGAGGACTAAAGGGCAGTGT